CAATGCTGTCATGAAGAGGGCTCAGCGAGGGGGTGTGAATTGTGTTCCATACAATGCAGCGGCGGATAAAAAATAATCAGAGGATAGATGGTGGAAGAGATGGTGAGAACAACCTCAAGGGGTTCCGTGGCCGCTATTGAACTACGGAAAGAAAGGAATGGAAAACAATTTGGGTTTACAGCCTGTGCACCAAAAAATGCGATGATATTTGAATCCACGTTTGGTGTCTAAATGTGAGCGCGTCTCAAGACGCTGAACGGGAACATTGGGAATATAAGTATTAATATTTATTTATTTTATCGAGAGGCGGTCGGTCATAGGCAGATGAAACAAGGCAGGTCTTGCGCCTGGACTTGAACAGGGCCACGGGAGGTCGATGGCACGGATGGCACGGGGGAATACAGCTCCGTGCACTCACCTCATGCACAACCTTTACAGCAGGTTGGTACTTTAGAGGATGTATCAGACAATGGAGATCAACAATGGCTTGCTAACACAGCACGCGGCCTCCAAATGAACTATCAACCGCAGAGGTCGTGCTGTTCGGTTCATTTTGTCTACCTACTGATTACTGTCCGGCAATTTTTTCCAATAATTATAATTAGTGATTAAATTATGAGAATGTTTATAATAGTATTTCTGCGGTATGTGTATCGTATTTTCTACAGGCCGGTTTGTTTTAAAATACAACGTCACATTGGTGGTTTGACCATACTTCTCTGCACTGGACATTTCGTGTTATTGACGGGGGGTCGAGTCACCATTCGGATGGCATCGCTCGCCACCGATGTTAGCCATGGTCGGGAATTGAACTCAGGCCTCTGGTTGTATGGCTCAGTGTGCCAAACAACCCACAACACATATTCTTGGTTCTTTCGGTAAAGTCACGTAGAAGAGAAATAATAAAATAAAAACATAAAACAAAAAAAATTCTCACGACGTTTCGACTGCAATACAAGCGATCATCATCAGGTGTGAAATCCACAGCAAGAAAATTTGAAAAAAAGTGGCAACACGTCAAGGGGAGGCCTTCAACCGGAAGTAATTCTAGACAAATACATGGATGTTCAACTTATTTCGCACCGTATTAAAAGTGCGAAAATATATATATAAATCATTATTGATGGGGGGGGGGGGGGGTTTCCTTCTAAATTACGTGGATCTGGGTGATTGATATCCGAGTTGAGAGGGCTGAGAGCGATGCTGGATCTCCAGTCATCAATGAAGCCAATCCCAACTCTGATTGCTAGGATTTGCAATCAACTCAGGTGATCGACCCCTCGTCCAACTATTTCTTGTGCCCCCAATACCCAGCAGCCAATTCCCTGCGGCGACGGTGCAGGGTCTCTATAAGGGAGACGTTTCGTTGTCGTCACACCGTCAGCGACATCCCTCGGCACGATTGGGAATAAGATTGATGATTTTTTTTTGTTTGTTTTTGAAACTTACAATTTTTTTCCACCGGCAAATTTAGCGTCATTATTATTATTATTGGGCGACCAGCCCGTCAAGGGCGTTGGCGCTGGTGCATTTGATGCGAGTGAGTCGCCCGCGTGTCTTCGTTTGCATGGGGCACAATCGAATGGGAGCTCGAGTCGCCGCCGCCGCCACCGCCACCGCCTTAGTTTACACATCGCAAAGGTGCGGCAGTCGTTCAGCCGCACCCCTCCTCCCCCCTCCTCCTTCACCCCTCGTCGCCGTCGTCTCTCGCTCAGGTGAGCAGAAGGGGCGGTGTTTCTATCTCTCTCAATTTCCCATGACGATGGGTGGCCGCGACGAGGGTGCATGCGGTGGCAGCCTCAAAGCTCCCGAGTTGCGGGGTGGTGTCAAGATGCAACCAGATTCAACGCGGGGCCCACGTTGAAATGTTTAAATGAACAGAGCTTTCGATGTAAAGCTTTCGTGACTGCAGGGATTCATCTTCTTGGTTCTTTCGGTTAAGTCACGTAGAAGGAAAATAATAAATAATAAATATACGCTGCCAAGCTTGGTGGTGTTCATTCAGACGCTGTCTTTCCGACAGACCTGTTCTTCACCTGAGGACGGCTGCTTGCGTTGTGGCCGAAACGTCGTGAGAATTATTTTATTATGTTTTATTTTTATTATTGTATTATTTCCCTTCTACGTGACTTTACCGAAAGAACCAAGAAGATGAACAGACCTTTGTTTTGGTGGCAAGAACAGCAATCAATGATTTTACAGCAACACCCCCTTTTTATCGCCACTGTGGCTGGGAAGCACAACGTTAGCACGGTGTAAAAGCATCCTGCTTCAAGAAGAAACAGTCCCCACGGACAACATACAATGAGTGAATAAGTGTTTGATTAATAAAAGCGTGTACGTGTGTTAAAAGCCACTTTTCTTGAAATCGTGAAGCAAAATGCCCTTTGGCGGAAAAATGTTGACAGCGTGCAATTGAAATCGACACGTTGCAGCTTGCTCCGCGAAGAATCCACAAAAATGTACAGCTAATAAAACTAACTTTTGCTTGTTAGCATTTTATTGTTTTTTACGGTTGCGCTACGTCGCTCTCTGATGTGCGTTCAGGGTCGTTGTTCCATACTAACGTGACTTTTCTGTAAATGTGATAATGAGGATATGCATAATTTAACTCATCATCATCAGCCATGATCCATCTCTTAGATGTGACATTGTGTAGAGTCTATGTGAATACAAATGGTATTGCACTTTGTATTTATCCACGATCATATCAATGTGAATACAAATGGTATTGTACTTTGTATTTATCCACGATCATATCAATGTGAATACAAATGGTATTGTACTTTGTATTTATCCACGATCATATCAATGTGAATACAAATGGTATTGTACTTTGTATTTATCCACGATCATATCAATGTGAATACAAATGGTATTGCACTTTGTATTTATCCACGATCATATCAATGGACCTAAAGCAGAACGTGTTCAATCGGTGCACATCACCGCACGATGACGTGAATCGGAAACGTGAATACTGACAAACGAAATGGCGCAAAGGTTGGAAAGGGTGAAAATAATGACATTGATATATAAATGCTGACATCCATGTTGTAGTCATGTGCAACATACGCACATTGCAACGTTTGTTTGTATGTTGTACGTAGCCAACCGTGCTAATCGGAGGTGCGGAGAAAGGCCAACAAACTAAACACAAAAAGCAGTTCTTGGTAGACTAGTTTGCCAATCTAGAAGATGATTTAAAAATGCATCGCTCCGGTGGCATTCTGATATCGGAAGGAAGAGCGTTCCAGACGGCCACAGAAGCGCATCTGAAAGCGCGCGGTGTAGTGACCACCGCCTTTGTTCTAAAGCTGCTGTTGCTGCTGCTGCTGTTGCTGCTGCTACTGCTGCTGTTGCTGCTGCTGCTGTTGCTGCTGCTGCTGTTGCTACTGCTGCTGCTGCTACTGCTGCTGTTGCTGCTGTTGCGAGAATGACGCCCCAAGTTCACGTGATGGAGGTTTATGCTCCTTGACTTGATGTTTGACTTACTAGACGCTAATTGGGGATTTAAATAACAATAATTATACATTAGCGAATGTATTTTCAAATATTGCAGTGTAATTTTTGCGTAAACATCTTTACAATGAGACGCGTTCAATTCAGCAGGTTAACTTTTTTAATTTGCTTTATTTTCCCCACAAACACAATGTGAATATAAACCGCACAGGAACAGATATGATCAAACGCGCATGCATATATTAGACGACACAAATTATTTGGTGTTGAGTTGACACAACTAACAAAATGAAAAACTCAACACATCCGTTAATAACAATGTCTTAAAAGCGTAACCACGTAATCTAAAATATTAGCAGATCTACATCTTGTGTATCCACACTTTCAGTGTTTTTTTTCAAATCCACGATTTAATCCATCTGCCAATGTATTGGCTCTATAGACCACCAATATTAACCAGCTGCATTGATTTCATGAAGGAAAACTGGCCCGGTTTTGATCTTCGCGGTCTCACCAGCAGTCGCACTTGTTGAGCAAATGCTTCTGGGCCACGATTATAATCGGCAAGAACACTCCATCTAAACTACGGGGGCCCTGTTCAACGCAAACAAAACCCATTTATTGTTGTCCTTTAGCCGATGTGTTGGTGCCCCCAATGCTCTGTTTACCATTGCCCTTTAACAACCACGGACAGGTAATGTCATCAGGTGTGCTACACCTGCAGGAATGCACGCGTGCGTGTCACCAGAGTCTCCTCTCCTCTGGGGGGAGTCTCCCGGCATTTCCCAGGGATGGTGGAGCAGAAGGAAGCAGGGAGAGACGGCGATGTTGGGGGAGACATTGGGAGACGGGTGAGAGACAACGGGGAGAGACAAGAGGCATACGTGGGGAAGTTGGGGAACAACGTTTTGTGAAGAGGGGAACGCACCGGGAGACACGGAGAGAGACCGGTTTGGGGAGGACATGGGGATACACAAGAAGACAGAGAAAGGATCTAGGAAGGCACGGGAAGACGGGCGGAGGGCATTGGGGGAGACATGGGGTAGTGGGGGAAAGGGGGATACAGGAGGTGGTAGAGGGAGACACGGGGAGAGAATGGGGATGGAGGGAGACACGGGGGGAGAGTGGGGATGGAGGGAGACACGGGGGGAGAATGGGGATTGAGGGAGACACGGGGAGAGAATGGGGATGGAGGGAGACACGGGGGGAGAATGGGGATGGAGGGAGACACGGGGGGAGAATGGGGATGGAGGGAGACACGGGGAGAGAATGGGGATGGAGGGAGACACGGGGGGAGAATGGGGATGGAGGGAGACACGGGGGGGGGATGGGGATGGACACGGTCTGGGTGGGGGCGGGCAGCGAGAGAGACGGAGAGAGCGGTGGGCGAGGGGTTGGGGGGGGGAGGTGAGACGGGCGGAGAGAGCCGCGGGCTCGTTGTACGACTGCTCTCGGGGCCCGCCCAGGCAACCCCCCCACCACCACCTCCTCCTCCTCCCATCGGACTGCGATGCGCCACTTAAAACGGGTGCGCCGCGTCCCACGGTGCGAGCAGATCTCTCTCCACGCCTTCACGGACACCACACACGCACCTGTTTCTCGTCCCCTTCACCTGTGAGCTACAGCACCGCTGCTCTGAGAGTCTCCGTCGCAGCAGCACCGCCACCATCCCAACCCCCGGCCACTTCTCTGCCCTGCGAGCATCCGAGCAAGGACTGCGGCTGAGCCGCGTCGACTTTGGCGAGGAGGAGGAGAGGCGAGGCGCGAGGTCCTATCGGGACCGCCAGAGGACCCCGGCGCGATGTCCATGCTCAAGGGGCTGAAGCTCCCGCGGCGAGGGGACCGCGACTCGAGCACGGCCGCTGGGAAACCGCCCGTGGTGAAGATCAAGAAGTGAGTGGGGGTGGTCGTGGGGGTGATGGTGGGGGTGGTTGTGGGGGTGGTGGAAGCTGCAGGGGCACCTAGTGGAACGTGGGACGGTGACAACCCACGCGGCAACGTTGGCCCAACGTTGACCCAACGTTGCCGCGTTTTACTGGTGGTGCTGCACGCGCGCGAGTATGTCTGTGTGTGCGTAAAAAAGTTGCTTTTTTAATGTTTATAAGCGGAGGCGCAAATACGTGGAGCAGGCAAATCGCCTGCTTAAGTTCTCCACAGCGACGCCAGTGGTTACCTTGTGTGTGTGGTTGTGTGTGAGTTTCTTGTGTGTGTTGTCTTGTGTGTGTGTTTCTTGTGTGCGTGTTGTCTTGTGTGTGTGTGTGTTTTCTTGTGTGTTGTCGTGTATGCGCGCGGGCGTTCACCTGCGTGTGTTGCATCGAACACCGGTGACGATGATGGGAGTGGGTCCTGGGCCTCCCCTAGGTCAACTCGGCTTTAAATAAGTACCTGCTAGCGGTGTGTAGTAAAACATCGCCACTGGGGAGACAAAGGCGACCGGGCGTGGTGCTCACCACCTCGTGTGCCGTGCCGACCTTCATAGGTGCTGCTCGCTGACAGCACTTGCCCCAAGTCAGTTACACTGTGTGTGTGTCCCTATCGTGTTCACCTGTGTCCCTATCGTGTTCACCTGTGTCCCTATCGTGTTCACCTGTGTGTCCCCATCTTGTTCACCTGTGTGTGTGTGTATCCACCTAAGCACGTGTCTGTGTTTTCATCCTGTGCATGCACCTGCGCGTGCATGTTCACCTGCGCACGTACCTATGCGTGCATGTAACTCTCTGTACTTGGGTGTGTCCATTCGTATGTACATATTGTTTGTTACCTGTGTGCTCACCTGTGCATGTCCCTGTGCGCGTACTTGCCCGTGTACCGGCACGCCATTACCCGTCCGAACATGCTCGCGCTTACCTTAGCGAGGCATCGTGTGCACGCGCTCACCTGTACGCGTACCTACAGTGCGTTTCTACCGGTGTGCGTGCACCTTTTTTTTTCTTCCTGTTCTGTTCTAAGTGTGCGCGTTACCTGTGCGCGTTCAGCTGGCCACCTCCACCTGTGTCCGTCCACCTTGGGTGTGGCACAGGTGTTTCTGCACTGCGTACTTCCCGCAACCCTCTGCTGTGGGCGTTGTGTATCGTTCGCTCGCAGACTCCTCGCTTGTGTGCGATGGTCGACGACGACGATTGTTGTTGTTGTTATTTGGTGGCAAAACGACGTTGACGCGGGGAGGATTTCAATGCTCGGTGCAGCGTGTCGCGGTTGGAGCGCGATGGGTCGTCTAGGCGGCCATCCTCGCGCGGTTCGAATGCACAGGCAGCGAAACAAATAATTAGCGTGCGCGCGAACCAGACGTGGAACAAACGTGGTACAGACGTGGTACAGACGTGGTACAGACGTGGAACAGACGTGGAACAGACGTGGAACAGACGTGGAACAGACGTAGAACAGACGCGAACCAGACGTGGAACAGACGTGGAACAGACGTGGACCAGACGTGGACCAGACGTAGAACAGACGCGGAACAGACGTGGACCAGACGAGTCTTCCGGAATTAAAACTAAAACGCTCGGTTGCGATGTCGATACCAAACGTCTGTCTGCACCCCTTCCGAGGAAAACGGAGAGCAGGCGACGTTTCGGGCAATGACCCACCTTTTGTCCAAACATCACCGTGAGACATTGTCACCACAGGCAGGGGACATGTTACGCGTTGCACTCAGGGCCGGTTAAAGATTCTGTGGCCCCCCTGGGCGACAGGTACTGAGCCCCCCCCCCCCTCCCCAGTAATATTTTCAAAAGGAAAACAAAGTTAACGAAAAATGAAATGGTATTTTTACACGGCTAACAACAAATACAATTCGGCATTCACAAGTGAAATAACTTTCCACTTCATCTCTGGAGGCCCTCTCCAGCTGGCGAAGACCCCCTGAGCTGGAGCCCCGAAAGCCCCCCACGTCTTACTCGGGCCCTGGTTGCACTTATAGACAGTCTGGGGGGCAGTGGCTCTTGACCTTTACCGCAATCTTGGACCCAACTGGTTCTCAGTCGTTACACTTTTGAGCATGTTAATAAACACGCAGGGTCCGATTTAAACAAAGTAAGTTGTACTTAACGTGCCGGTGCTCGATTTGTGTTTTCGATGATTTGACCTTCCAAAAACCACTCTGGCCGTGTCTCGCACAGGCCCAGAAAGGGCATCTCGCACTCTCAGGGGGGAGGGGGGGCGTGACGCACCCCAGGCTAAGAGCCACTGGTTTAAGGGGCCTGGGCTTTCGTCAACGTTCAAGGCATCGTTAACTTGTGGGATGACGGGGAGCTGGAGGCACAGAGAGGGTGGAGTTGAAGGCAGTGGGGAGCGGTGGCCCAGCGGTTAGCGCTACGCTGCGCTACGAACCCGGCGACCCGAGTTCGATTCCCGCTCACGGCCGGTCCTGGGCCTTCTCCTACGTCGACTATGCCTCAAATGAGTACTTGTGTAAACATCGCCACTAGGAAGACAAAGGCGGCCGGGCGTGGTGCTGGCCACCCACCCCCTCGTGTGCCGTGCCGGCCTTCAGAAGTGCTCGCTAACAGCACTTGCCCCTACACTCTGTGAGAGGCCGTGCGGGGGAGCTTTGTCCGTGTTTGGCTGCATGGCACAGCTCGTGGTTAATGTGTGATGGGCGTGATGGGCTGGGACGTGAATTGTGATCCAGAATAACCAGTTTATTCCGTCCACACCTCGCAGCTAAATGCTGGTTAATCTTTATCGTCTGTTTTCCTCATGCAAGGGCGTAACCACGCCTTCTAGAACTTTGTGTTTGTAGCATTTAAGGAGTCTTCAAGTGTGACTCGAATTCCGGCGGCTTTCCAGAGTTCGAGTCCGAGTCACGGGTGACGTCGGTGACGAGTGATGCATCCGCTTGTCCTGCGATTCCCCCAATCCCCGTTCACCAAACCCGCACTGACAAATGTGGGGAAGTATGGTCATGCGGCCCCCGCGTGTGAAACATCACGGGGAAGCCTTCATCCAGCAGTGGCTTGCCAAAAGGGGCCTGTACATTATTGTTATTGTGAGCGTGCGTCACGTAGCAACAAGACGAGCTGACATTTTCGTGGCCTATATTTTAACGAAGCACATTTTATTGAAATTCCACCGTTCAAAAAGTGGCGTGCCCTTACGGTGCAGGGAAGCGGTGTGCCCAATGCACTCGGAGGAAACCCCAGGAATTACGAGGGGATCGCACTCTAAAGAGCCCCACACGAACATGTAAGAATCTCTCGTGTTACTGCTGCCGTCCCCTGGCCACCTCGCAGCCCAAGATCGTCAACATCTGCTGTGACCTAGGAAGTCTCCCATAGAAATAACTCGCCACAACATTCAACCTCGGCTTGGTGTGCCGACATCTGATAAGATTGGTCATGTTCCGGCTGGTACGGCCATTGTCTCCTCACCCGCTGGTGAAATGTCCCACAACTCGTGTCTGTCTGCATGATCTGCCCCGAAATACCTCCTCTGCTTCAGCTCTTTGAGCCAGAGGGGGTTCACCTTGCAGCGTATTACATTCCCCAACGCATTGCTATACGTGCTATTTCGACCGCGTGTGGGTTGTTTCTTCCAACACCTTTGGCAAAATTCCGATGCCGCAGCGCTGTCATTCCCTTCCGTGATGGATTCCTCGAGGGCTTCGATGTTGCGCGCCACGTTCGCAACAAATCACCGCGTTTGTTCTCTCGCTCGACGAGCCCTTCGCACCCACGGCCACCGCACCGAGATGGCAGAGGCGCCGAGTGCTGCGCGCCATTTGTAAACCACCTCGCGGCGAGCTACCGTCGAAGGCCCGTCGTAACCCTCCTTCGTTGACCCCCCCCCCCCCCCACTGACCCTGGTGACTGTTGGCATGTTACGGTGACGCGATGGCGAGCCTGGGCTGTCCACGAATTAGAGACGACGTATTGGGTAAGGACAGGACCCATCATTCACTAGTTGGGTTGATGGCTGATGGGCGAGATTGGTGATGGAATGGCAGCTAAAGGAGGGAACGAGCACATACGATACGTTTTGCCGTTGGTGTTGATTGTGATGGTGCAAATTGTAATCTTGTTGATGGTTCGTAATATTAACCCTCCCTATTACTTCCTTCCAAACTATCTTAGGGAGCTGTGTTGTCACTGAAAATACGATCTCAAAAAATGAGGTTTTCTACTCGAGATCGCAGTTGTCACATTCCCTTCAACAAAATCGCCGGCAGTGCATGAAGTCCATTCGGAACGGATCCACTTTCAGTTCGACTCGTAATGTCCACGATGCATTTTCGTTTGGTCCGCTCTTATTTTTCTTGGTTTGTGGTGCTGGTCATTTTTTTCTCAACCCCTCCCAGTCCCGGCCCACGCCTCCCCCCTTCACCCTTGCTCCCGTGTCCTTCACGGCCCCTTCGTGCCACGACAGCTCTGCTCCTCAGCCCCACCGCTCGTCCTCACGACTCCTCGCTCCCACAGCCTTGCAGATCCCCTAGGTCCAATGGGTGGCACAGGCCCTGGCACAAGGCATTAAATGCTCCCCCCCCCCCCCCCATCGCCTCCTCATCATGGCCCACCGCCTTGGACCCCTCTGGCCGCCTGCACATTTGATCGCTACGCCACTGCCCGGGGTCTCTCTCCCCAGCTCCACAGCTCCCGCTTTGCCTACCTCCTCCATCCCTCCCCGTGGGCTGCGCTGCAGACTCCATCTCCCGCCGTGGCCTTGGGCTCCTCTGCCTCTCTCACAAAATCTCCCGAGCCGCCTCGTGGCCATTTTCACAAAAGAACATTAGTCAGTGTTCCCTTAATTTGTCAGTTAACGGCACGCATAGCTACAAGTTTGGGTAATCCACCGCTTCATGTGTTGTGCAACCGGGCCTCCCTCCCTTCCTCCTTTGCATTCCGCAGCCTACTTACTGCAACAAAATCCCATTAGACTGCCTTCCCCCGCTATGCCAC